ATGGTGTTGTGTAGATCAGTGGTGAGTGGCATTTGTGTTACTGTACATTGCCATTAATTAAATGCTCTCCTATTCTCAGCCATGGCCTCTAGTGCATCCCTCTGTCCCCTGTGAGGATGCACTGACAGCACTGTGTTTCTTCCTTGGCAGCCACTCTCCTTCTAGACTGTGAGCTTCAGGAGGCTGGGCACTCATCCTGTGTCTGTATTTCCAGCAATGAGCACATCGCCAGGCAAAAAGCAGATCTCAACTGTTGATTGCATGGACTTTTATTTTAACATGTACAGTCCCGATCTTCTTTTTAAACAGTTCCCAGCCCAGACATAATTCAAATGGGCCGTCTCCCTTTTCCCTTTCATGTACTTAACAGTGGATGCTCCAGAATAAGTCTGATGGATAAGCTGTGTGACCTAGGGCAAGTTACTTAACTTCTCTATGTCCCTGTGTCTTTGGTTGTTAAATGGGTGTAACTGTAGTGCTTATTTCATGTGGGTTTTTTGAAAATTAATAGAGGTAAGTCAAGTCCCTAGATCAGTGGGGGATTGTGAATGTTTAACAAAAGTGGAGTTGACAGAAGGGGTGGAGATAGATGTGGTCATTGCAGCAGCAGGGTAGTGAGAGGACTGAGCGTGTGCTTTGAGGCTGAGCAGCGTCATGACCATCCATGGACTTGAGGTCCATAAACAGGAGTGCTATGTCACACACCGCTTTCAGAAGACAGGTGAGTGCATGTGAGTAAAGCCTGTAGGACTCCCTTTCTTAGCAGGTGCGAGAGTCTCCCCTGGACCCTGGACCTCCTGCATGACAGGGAGCAGGCAGCTGCCTCTCTGGCCTCCGGGCCTGCTGCCAGGCGGCCCCGCTGCCAGGCGGCCCTGCTGGAGCCTGGGCCCTGGGGACCAGATGACCATAGAGAGTCCCTCACTGTCATTCCCATGACCTCCACCTCCTGGAAGACGAATAGATATCCATCTAAGATTTCCACCAATGATTTGTATTAGATTCTTCATAAACTCCCAACCCAGCCTCCAAACCAAGTTGAAATAACAAGAGCCAACAATCAGAACCATGCGTTTTTTTATCTGGTTCTATTTTGTTTATCTGATCATCGTCAGGGAGTGAACTGTTCTAAGCAAAATAGTTTCCCAGTGAAAATACTTCTAAAATACTCGCTTTTCTGGCCATCTTTTGCACAAGACAAAGGACAGACACAGTTTAATCTTCCCAATGGCCTGGTGACAGTGTATGTGCGTGAACCACGGTGCTGTCCTTAGAGACCTCTGACGTAAGCTGGGTTTCCAGTCCCATTACCAGAAGCCCACAGAGAGCTGTACTTTTGAAATTCCTCTCTCTCCTTGACTGGCCACCGCGAGCGGTTTGCTGCCCTGTGGCTCTGAGTCTTGCACTTGGGGACGCTCCGGCCTTGGCTTGGAGAGCCGTGTGTGCCCTGGGGCAGCTGCTTGTCCTCAGAGCTTTTGAAAAATTTGCTCTCAACTGGGTTCCAACTGTGTTTTATACAGTCACAAATGCTATGAATCTACCTACATCCATCTATCTCCATCTAACAATTTTTTATTGAGCACCTCATTTGGGCCAGACTCTGTGCTCTGGGAAGAGGGGTGTATCTATGCATGTCACACAGTCATAGCCGCTCCTGATCTCACAGTGACGTGCATGTGGATGAGCTGGGGGTGTTGTTAAAATGAGGATTCTGACTCAGGAGGTCTGAGCTGGAAACTGAGAGTCCGCATTCCTAGCAAGTTCCCAGGTGAGGCCGCCACTGCTGGTGTGTGAACGAGACCACGTGTTAGAGTGTCAAGGCTTTACAGCGGATGCATGAATCCAAATTCGTCCAGGGGCCAGGCAGGTGAAGGAACCATGCAGAGCCCAGGCATGTGGGAGGGCCAGGGAAGTGGTGGGAATGTCAGTGGACCAGGCTTGCCCAGCCTAAAGACTTCCTAAAGTTTCTATAAAAACACTGTTGGGCTGCAAGCTGAATTCAGCTCCACATATACTTAGCTCCTGCCCGAGAGTCCAGAATCTTAGGAATTTTGCAGGTAAACTGATCTAGTCACATATGAGTCCTTCCATAACCTGCTAGACAGCATTGACCTGCCGGGGCCTGATTACTCACAGGTGTTGCTGTGCACTGTTGAGAAGACCTGTTTAGAACTGGCTCTGGGGTTGTGGGTTTGAGGAGGATGGAGGGCACGAGCCCACTAGTATTTAGCTACCGCCCATGCTTTTCTTCACATCGTGCATGACTTCATCTGCTCCTGTCATCGTTCTAGCTGAGTGGGCTACCAGCCTCATCTCACAGATGAGGAACCTGGATTTCCAGAGGTTAACTAACTTGGTCACAATGACCCAGCTGCTAGTTGGTGAAGTGGGGATTCGAACTCAGGACTGTCGGCCTCCAAAGCCCTCTGTAATAGTACAGCAGGCACTGTTCAGTGTGTGTATATGTCAGACACACTCACTAGTCCTAATCTTACAGAGACCCAGCAAGATATGTAATTATTCCTGTCTTATATTGATGCTGGCAATCAAGGTACAGCCAATTTTCAACCTAGTAAGACACTGCCATCCCCCTACCTTCACCCTGGCCCTGCTGGGGACATGTCTTGGTCCTTCTAACATTGGGAGCCATAAAGGTGGCCCCGGGGTAGAATCTGTGCCTGCCTGGTGGGCCTACTGGGTGCCCAACAGAGCAGGACTGTGTGGCTACTGGGACACAAGGTTTATGTGTCTTCATCTGTCTCATCTGGAAAAGTTTATAATGTGGTAGGAGAGGAGCTGAAAGAAATGTGAATTTCCAAAAGATATCTTTTTTTGTTTGTTTAACTCAGCATATATGGGAAGTCCCTTTTATGATCAAGCATATAAGGCAGAGGAGGTGGAGTCTGAGGCTCATGATTTCTCTAGGATAGATGAAGTGAGATAGCCTTGAGTTCTCCCCAGCAACACACATACACCCACATGCACACCCACACACATACACATGCACACACATGCACACTCACACATACACCCCCACACAAACACACATACACATGTGCACCCACGCACCCCAAGACACATGCACGCCCACACACATACACACACCTACTCCCACACATGCACACCCCCACACATGAGCATACATGCATGCCCACACATGCACACCCCCACACCCCCACATGCATACATGCACGTGCACACCCACACACATGTATACACACACACACACACACATGCACATCTGCAAAGGACAAGACTTACCTCAAATCATCCTCGGGGATCTGGACCATTTACCTACAGCTCTTCAAACTCCAAATGCCATCTCTTGACCAGGCCTAAGCAGGATGACGGAAATGGGAGGCAGCGCCCCTCCCTGGCCTGGCTCCTGGGCTCAGTCCTCCCTGAGGGCAGGAGTGGGGAACTAGGGGCGGCTGGGAAGGCTGAAGTCTTTGAGCCTGAGGCTCCAGGGGCAGGGGTCCCAGAATTTTGGAGAAGATTTTGTTTATTTAGCTCAGCACATGTCTCCCTGGGAAATACCTTCTCTAGACTTAATTTAATGCTGCTTTCAAATGACTTGAATCAGGCGTGCAAGAATTACAGCCCTAATAGAGTAGTTAGGGTTCTCCTCTGCTTATGAAGAAAGCAAACAAGCAGAGGTTTTTGACCACCGGCTTTCTCCTTCCTACCTGCCTCATGACTTTTCACCTGAACATGTCAGCAGCCACCTCCCAGCCCGCAGGCCCAGGTTCTCTTCAAGGTGCTCAGGAAATGCTGTGCATTGCCTGGCTTCCAGAGCTCTTGGACGTTTTTTGTCTTTGTGGCTACTCTGGGTGAGTCCTTGGGTCCTTGCAGGCTGCTGTCCACCTGCTGCAGCTACAGGGCCCTGCTCAGCACACCTGCATCAGTGGAGGGCCCCTCCTTGCAGCTTGTGGCCAGGTGTGTAGACATGTTGCTCTATCTTTCAAACCTGCCTCACTTCCTGCCCGGACCAAGCATGGGCATCATCGAGTGCTGAGGGGTGGAGCCTAAAAGCAGCCTGTGTTTTCTTGGCATGTCACCCTGTCCTCTGAGTCCACCAGGGTTATGAAAGGTTGGTGCCTCTGTTTCCAAGAGGCCCCCAGCTGGTGTCTGCCTCTGACCCTTATTCCCACTCCAGGCTGACTCCACCGGCCAGATTCTCCTGCCCTGGGGGCCCAAGGGCCAAAATGAAGCATTTGCTGGGAAAGCAGAGGGGGTGGCCTGCTTCCCACCACTTAGGCCTTGTCGGTCGCTCACAGGTGGTTCGAGTCAGAAGGCTCCAGATGGCACCTCTCGTTTCTCAGAAAAGGCTTTGAAGGGCTGCTCCTAGCAGCCAAGGGCAAGTGGACAGGAGGCCTTGGAGTCGGCTTGGAGATTGCCTCATCCTACTTCTTGGCCTAGGGCCTTTCTGGGCCTCAGCTTTCTTATCCATGCAATGGGGATAACACCTACCTCCAAGGTTTGTTGTGGGTCAGGTAAGATCATCCAGGCCTTCTATGTGGGAGAAATTAGTAGATGTCCAGTTAATGTTACTGTTTTTCTCTTTCTGTAATCTTTTCCTTATGATACCTAGTTCCCCAAACAGATCATTTCCCCCATGTGGCCATGAATTCCTGGAGGTCAGGGACACCATCAAACTCTGCTCGGGTGTTTCAGCCCCTACGCCAGTGTCTGCACATACCAGTGAGACTTCAAACTGACCAGTGCCATGCAAGGTTTCCAGACTCCCAGAATGCATGCAGGCTTCCCTGGGAGCAGGAAGGCCTGCCCTCAGCTGGGGGTCAGAATAGCTGGCATGTCAGGGATCTCACAGTCAGTTTCACAGAAGCACGTGAGCCATGGCGAGGTTTTGGGGACTTTTATTTTTATTCTTTATTTTTTTAAAGCCAGTGAAGATGGGCAAATGCTGGGTCCCTTTGGGGCTGCATCCTTCTGTCCAGCTCCCACCGCCTCCCCCAGCCCCTCCCACCCGCCGGGAGCTCCGAATCACCTGGGCTGAAAACACCACCTGGCTGGCCAGGTCCCTCGGCAGCCCCAGCTCCAAGGCCAGGCTGCAGGGTGGTCCAAGGGCAGGAAGGGTTGTGGGTCCCATGAAAGCCCCTGGTGCAGGCCTCCCTGCAGGAGCCTCTGCCTTCCTGGGGGGGATGGGCATACCCCGGTTGGAGGAGCCGGGGCTTCGGATGTCCCTTCCTGCCCTGCGTCCCTCCCTCTCCCAGCTTCTTGCATCAGCACCCAGGGAAGCCCAGGTGGGTGGCTGTAGTGTTCTTTCTCTTGGCTCTGCTTTGCCCATAACCTCCCTGGTTTCCCAGCCGGTGGGGGCTTCTTGTCCCTTCCTGTCTTGGGCAGAGGTTAAAGTGGAGAAAGGAGGCCAGTAGGATGTCCCCCTTTATTCTTGGGTCTAGGTGGCAGGGATATTTCTTCTCCTGGGAACTTCTCCCCCCTCCACGAGGGGAGCCCCTCTGGCCTGCGGGATGTATGTGGCCCTGGCCCTTACAGTGGGTCCTTCCTGGGCCAAGGTCCGAGGAGGGTATCAGGGCATGCCAGCTTTTCCTCTGCAGCCAGCCAGCAGTCCCCCTGGGCCCAGTGCCCTGGTTTCTTGACTCCCAGAGCAGATGGGACACCCAGACCTGGGACCTGCCTCCCTGGGAAACGGTTCCCCACAGCCGGCTAACAGCTGGGTATGGCGCGTCAGGGCCCCATAGCCAGTTTCCTGGCTGCAGAGCCTCGCAGTATCATCTGCCTGTGCTTTGGGGATTTGCAGACCTGGCAGGACAAGGCCTGGGCCCGCCGAGGTGCTGGACGGCAGGGCGCGCGCGGCGTCCCAGGAGGGGCCTGCGGGGCCTGGTGCGCGCCCTCCGTCGCCAGCAGGCCGGCTCCTCCCTCGCCCCCGGCCGCAGCCCCGGGCCCCGGCCGCGCGGGGAAGGGGAGGCGCCGCAGCGGGGCCCGCGGAGACGGGGCGGTGACCGCGGTGCTGATGGGCCGCCGGCCGGGGAGTCACACGCTGGGCGCGCCCAGGCTGAGCACCGAGAAGGCGGCGCGGTGCTTGCGGAGCAGCAGCCGGATCTTCTCGTCGTCCGAGTCGGGGTCCAGCGGCTTGTTGTACTCGTCGTCCTCGTTCTCGGAGGCCGCGCGGTCCCCGCCTGCGCCCGCGCCGCCCGGGGCCCGGAGCGAGGGGGACGAGGGCTCCACGGCGCTCTTCTTGCGCCACTTGGTCCTGCGGTTCTGGAACCACACCTGGTGGGGGAGGGACTCTGAGGATCTCACTCACACACACATGCTCTGAGGATCTCATACACACACACGCACAGACACACTCTGAGGATCTCACACACACACGTGCACACACACACACACACTGAGGATCTCACAAACACGCACACACGCACACTGAGGATCTCACACACACACACACACTCTGAGGATCTCTCACACACACACACTCTGAGGATCTCACACACACGACACACACTGAGGATCTCACACACACACGCACACGCACACATGCACACACACACTCTGAGGATCTCTCTCACACATACACACACACACACACATGTGTGCTCACTTTCAGGAGCGTGGCCGCACTCCGTGGCCAGGACACTCTAGCCTCAATTTTATAGTAAAATAAATGGGTCGACTGATAGAGTAGACTGTAATAGTCACACTACCATTTTGGGTGGCGGGGCAATAACATAAAAATAAGTGTGTGAGTGCAGCAGCACTTTCGGCTTAGCTATAGCCCTCCCTGGGTGTATCTGCCTTCCAATCACTTGGCTGGAAGGCATTCAAAGGCCCCAGGGTGTGGGGGGGGGGCAGGGGTGCGGCCCAGGTGAGGGCACCCGGGTAGGAGCTTAGGAGTTGTCCCTTCTGTTAGCTTCACAGCCCCTTACAAAACTTTATGAATAATTTGCCCGCTAATTATAGAAATAATGTATTCTCCTTTTTTGAAATAGTGGAAAAATGCAGAAAGGTACCCAAAGAAGCAAGAGAATTTGTAAGAAAGCCACACCATTTCCTTCTTCTTCCTCTCCAGTGGAGTTAATTCTGGGTTTTGGTCTGCCCGGGAGGCTGCAGATGTTGGTGGCTGGAGGTGCCAAGGGCCCTGAGCAGAGCCCAGCCCTAGGTTCCAACCTGCCCCTGTACCCTCTCCCCTTAAACTTACTGCCATGTCACAAAGCCGGGCAGTTCCAACAGAGCTCAAACCTTTCTCCTTTGGTGCTCCCACCCAAAGTCTCCCAGGACAGACTTTGCAGCAAAGCTGCCCCCAGGAGTGAGAAGCAGAAGCCAGGTCACCAATTTCAGACTACGTGGGATGCAATGAGACTGACCCTTGCATTGGGCTAAGAGGCTTCCTACACCCGCTAACCCCCCTGAATTTCATTTGGTTGGGCGTAGGTAGGAGAAAGTATTATCTTCACTTTAAAGTTTGGTAAATGAAGACCAGCTCCTTCTGCAAATGGAATAAACCTGAATCCAGTTCTGTGCTGGCCCAGGGGCCAACTGCAGATCCAGTCCAGGGGCTGCCATCAACTCTTGACATGTGTGGCCCAGACCGTGCAGCAGAGGCATGAGAGGTTAGAGTCCCAAGTCTGTACTTACCCACCAGGTGACCTTGAGCCAGAAGCTCAGCCAGGATTGCCTCATGCAGCAAATGAGTAATAATACCCATCTCAAGGTTGCTGTGAGGATTTAATGAGGTGCTACCCATACGGCCCTCAGAATAGGGCTCAGTATTGCCAGCTGCGTTTTTGTTCTGGTGATTGTTACAATCTCCAGGGGATAGATAGGCAGTGGCCAGCAGCAGGGCAGTTCCCACTGAGAGCTGGGGGTCGTGGGGAGAGCCAGGCAGCCTCCCCAGCAGCAGCGTTCTGTCCAGGCAGGCTCCTCACTGCAGCTAGGACACCCCTCCTGCACAGACTCACCTTGACCTGTGACTCGGTCATCCCCAGTGAGTATGCCAGCCGCGCCCTCTCAGGGCCAGCCAAATACTTGGTCTGCTCAAAAGTCTTCTCCAGGGCAAAGATCTGGTGTCCTGTGAAGGTGGGCCTGGTGTGCTTTTTCTTATGGATGCTGTCACCCAGGGGATCTGGGGCTGGCAGGAGGAAGGGTGAGGTTAGCAGGATGAGTGGGGGTGCCAGCCTATGGAGGTGAGCTCCTGCCTATGGAGAAGCCACTGAGGTTCCTCTCACCTGAACAGCACTTCTAATGTTTTGACCATTGTGACTGAGCCCTGCCATGTCTGGGGGGCAGGCAACCCGAGAGGGCACCCCGAAAGGGCACCTGCCCCTGGTCATAGCTACTCAGGAACAGAGGAAATGCACCTCTCTGAGTGCCGCCGCCTTCCCCCAAGGGGCAAGAGGAGTTTCCTCTCAGTCTTAGGGACACTAAGAAACAGATCAGTCACCTTCCAGGAACAGTCAGGGCCCTTGGGGCCTGGGAATTTCTCCCCTCCCCACTTCCTGGCTCTTGGGATCCCAACTTACTGCTCTCCACTGCCACTAGGCCTGGAAGTCACATGGCTTCAACCACACTGGAGAGTCTGGACCTGGGGCTCAAACTAGGAGCTCCCCCAGCCAAGGCAGCAGGCTCAGCGCAGCCCAAGGCCTGTGTCCCAGGCGAGGACACCAAGGCACAGAGAGAGGACAGACCTCCCAAGGGACCATCGCCTGCATTCCCCCGCCCTTTGTGTCAACTCAGCCACTGACTTAGACGTTTTTCTGTGTGTGTGTGTGTGCGTTTGGGATTGAAGAGCAGGGTGTGCATGTTGAGCTGGGGAGAGATGGTGGTGAGAGAGAGACAACTGGGGGCCTAAAGCTGGGGTATAAATTAGGCTCCAAGAGATGAGGTTGCCACCCCCATGGAACTTGCCGCATTTCAGGCTGAGTGAGGTGCGGGCTGTCAGGCAGTGTGACCTCCCGGAGCAGCAGAGCCGATGGGGAGGCAGACGTGCTTTGGGGCGCCCCGGGCCCATACTGCAGTGGGGCAGCCCCGAAGGCAGACAGAAGCGCAGGCTCCCTCTGCCCTGCCTGCTCTGGGCAGGGTCTCCGGGGCCCAGGGATGGCTCCTGCAGCCACTGACACTCCCCTGCCTCCCAGCTGAGGCTCACCTGCCTGTACATGGCTTGCCGCTTCCTCTAGACCCTGACTGGCCTCCTGGGGACCCTGAACCAGTTCTCTGAAAACAGGTTTGGGGATCACTAGGGTGAGGAGAGCCCCCGCTGAGAGCTAAGTCCAACTTAGGTCAGCAGCTGCTTCTGGATTCCAGGCAGTTGTCACTGCCACTGTTGATATCAGCCCTGAGGACAGCCCCCCGGAAGGTAGGCAGGAGCTCGAGGGGGTCAGGGTGCGTTCTGTGCCCCCGAGTGGGGTCTGGGCCTGTGGGCTCTCTGGCAGGTGATGCTGGGGCCAAATCTCAGTGGGGAGAGAATTTGCCTGCTTTGAATGAAGAAATGGTGACATGGGCTCTGGGTGGGAAAAGATAGGTGAGCTGCCAGCTGGACCCATAGTGGGTGAGTTTGGGCTAGGTGGTCTTCTCCAGCCCTGGAGGCTCCCAGGTTTCCTGAGAGGGCAGCTGAGGTGGCAGCTGGTAAGGGGTGAGGACAGGGGCCGGACACGTGTCCCGGCAAGCTTGGGAAGGGAGGATTCAGCCTGCATCAGGCTGGGAGATGGATCCTGGTGTCTGCGCCGGGCCGCCTAAGGGCGGTGGAGTTGGGGTGGGCCGCCTGTGTGGACCACCCTGTGAGCGTGCTCCCTTCCCGTACCCACCCCCCGGCCTGCCTTGTGCCCGAGGTGGGGATGGGCTCTGGCCTCTCTACTCACTGTTGCTGCATGGCCGCCCGCCTCGCCAGTCCTGGCCTGTGTCCGCCCAGCAGTTCCGGGTCCGGGTTGGGTACTCATTCCCAGCCTTGGAAAAGTTCCCCACTTGGGGGCCATAGTAGACCCCCTGGGAGCTGAGTCCGCCAAAGCCTGCCACGTGGGGGTAGCTGGAGAGGAGGCTGCTGTTCGGCGTGGCCACAGGCCTGCTCAGGATGTCTGTGATCCCGTGTGGGGTCCCGGCTGCCAGCTGGGGGCCCAGCCCAGGAGGGCTGAGCTTGTAGAAGGAGTTCTGCACAGAGTATTGGCACACGGGGGCCTTCATCTCCGAGAACTGGGCCAGCGGTGCATTGTTCAGCAGGAATGTCCCCTGCAGGTTGGACTCCATGATCCCCAGGTCAAAGTGGGGGAAGGCGGGAAGCCCAAATCCAGGCCCCTAAAGCCCAAGACCCCAAGCTGGAGACCAGAATCCCATGGCAGGCCTGGAGAGTCAAGAGTGCCCCAAGCCCCAGACTGCCCTCCCAACTAAGGCACCTGGCCCAGCCCTTGCCCAGGGACCAGCACCCACGTCAGCTGCTCGGAAGTCAGGTGCTCCTGGGTAAGAGGCCTCACCTGTGCCCCTGCCCTCTCTCCCTGCCCAGCCTGGACAGAGGCAGCTCTCCACACCTCAGCTCAGACCCCTCCTCTGCCTCTGAGTCTGGGGACCCTCCATGAGAACTTTTAAGTTCAGAGAAGCAACATTTCCCTGATAAAGATATGGCCCATTAGAATACAGACGGAGACTGGCTGAGCTGGGAGCGGTGCCTCGCCATTGGTTGAAACCCACACGGGCCTCACATTGGCTTCTCCAAGACAAATTGCACTTTGAAAGATTGACTGTAAAACCAGCCAGGGTGTGTGTGTGTGTACGTGTGCATGAGAGAGAGAGAGAGAGAGAGAGAATGAAAGCTCTGTTCATTCTCAGAGGGTTCACCTGCTTCTAGTCCCCCAAGTCCAGCATCTAGGAATAGCTAGGAATACATGGGTGCCTGAGGGCCCCTGGGAGCCTGCATTTCCTGCAGCTTCTCCCCTGAGGACAGGAGGCTGGGCTCAAGGGTTGCTGTCCTGGGGTGCTCAAGCCCCTTTCTGTGCGGGTGCCCAAGCTTGTGGCATGAGCATGGATGCTTCCCTGCTGGGATGGTAAATGGAGTGGCTGGGCTTTGGGGGGTGAATGTAACTCCCTGTGCCTGGCCTGAGAGCCTGGGAGTGGGGGCCTGCCCGGCAGGTTGTATACTATTGTGCAGGCTGGTGTATACTCTTCCTGCCGCTGCCTCTGGGCAGCCTTCCCTGATGCCGTCTTCCCTTCTCTGAGGAATCATTCTTGCCTTTGCAGGAGCAATTGTCATGTTGTCTGACTCAGCACCCAGGTTGGAAATCTTTGGTGGCTGAGATGGCCATTGATTCAGCAGTGGGTCCCTGGGCTGGGCGCTTGGTTGGCGCTCAGTAACTATTTGATGGACAGGGCTAGATTGGATCGTAGAGCACTCATATGCCTTTTTTTCCTAATGAATTTTTATAGCATACATGGCTCTGCTGGGGACCATCTCCCATCTCACCAACAGGGAAACAACAGTAAATAAAGGGTTATTTCTGTCTGGGGCAGCATCCTTTCTTGCAGTTTTGTTTTTTGTTTTAAATGGAAACCAGCATGTCACTGGTCTGAACATGGAAAATGACAGGAAAACTCATGACTGTCAGACAGGGCCCTTCTGCCCTTCCTTGGCCTGGCAAAGCCTTTCCTGACCAGGCTGGGGGCTCCTAAACTCTCATTACACCATGCTCACACTGCGGCTGGTGGGAGACAAGGGGTGCCCTTTGCCCACCTTCTCCTTGGTTTCCAGTGGGAGGCTGAGGGCCTGGGGTACAGGGAGGGCTCCCCTCACACTGAGCCAACTCTCCCCTCGCTGCTCCCTGTTCATGGCGGAACTGGTCTCTCTGAGCAAAGCTCTCTGGAGCATAAATGACGCAGGTTAATGCAGAAAGGCTTCACAAAGTCTACGGAGGTGGTTTTTGTAGAAGTTTAGATTAAAAACAAGAAAGAAAAGGTTCTTATCCATCTCTGTACTGTCATCACAACCATTTGGGAAACCTATTTCTGAGTCCCAGTGTTGTGCCCAACCCCACCCCAGCAATTGTGATTCTGAACCCATGCTTTGGAAAACTCTCCGTGGTGGCCCTTCAGCCTGGGCGGCTCTTCTGAGAAGCTTCAGATTCAAAGTGAGGGCTGGGAGGCCTCCTAGGCCTTCAGTGACTTGGTCACCCCCTAATGATGGGAACTTATGAGGGCCAGAAGCTGCAGCAAATGCTTTCTTATTTAACGCCGAGCTTGACAAAGGCATTTGTGCGTGACGACCCCAGGATGATGCCCAGGAGAGACTTTAGCAGTTCATTGATCCATTCCCCTATTTAATAGATGAGGAAACTGAGGCCAGTGTGGTGCCCAGCCTTGCATGAAGTGTTAGGAACTAGTTAGGAACAGGATGATTTTTCTTGAAAGTTCTAGAACTTTGAATGGCATTGAATGCAGGGGCCAGATGCCTGCATAGGGAGTATTGGGTCCCCCTTAGTGTATGCCAGCTGTGGGCTCAGCCACATACCCGGTGGCTTGTGGTGCCCCCTCCACCCACCTTGGACTCACCGCCACCTCATGGTAGTCCTTACGTAGGACAGCAATCTGTTCTACCATCTCAGTGGTTGGGGGGCTTCTCCAAGAGCAGATTCCTGATTAAGACCCAGGCTTCCAGAAGGTGGGCACCTCCCTGGGGTGCAGGCTTCCCTGCTGACTGAGCCCATCCACACCCCGGACTCTTTCAGGCCTCCAACCCAGAGTTCACCCCTCCCCAGGAACCTCAAACTCCCCAAAGACAAGCTAGGAAGGTGAGATGGAGCCCAGTGCCACGAGTCAATTTCTTTATTAATTTTGACATTTGTTCAGCTGGTGTAGGGAGACGGGCTATACATCAAAGTAGGGTGGGGGGGTCTCTCCCAATCACAGAGCATGTGGGAGAGTCCAGAAAGGTCATTATCATAACAATTAAAAAAGGTAATTTCAAAACTTCTAAAAAGCATCTAATGTGCAGACTGCAGCATTCTCTAGGCATCGTGTGGAGACCCCGAACTTCTCTCCTAACAGCTCCTACTAGCCACCGGCGCGAGCAGCCATGCCGCCGGCGGCCTGGGGCCGGCGGGCCAAGCAGCCATGCCGGACAGATCGCGAGGTGCCAAAGCGGAGCCTGAGCCGAGGGTGGGCGGCCGGCCGGCCGGGGCGGGGAGGCACCCCTGCGCTGGTCTCCGCGGCCGTCCCCGGGCCGGGCGGCCACCGGGGGGCGCTGCGCTCCCGCACCCCGGGGATCGAGGCCGCGAGCAGGGCCTTCCCGTGCCCCGCCCGCGCCTCCGAAAGCAAAAGCGAACAGCCCGGGTCTCCGGGTCCCCCGAGACGGCCGCGGGACCCGGACACTGAGGGAGCTTCTGTGCTACTTGGAAGGTTTGTGTGCCTAGGGCACCGCAGGAGGGGGCAGCAGGGGGCAGGTGGCTGGACACCCACCACCAGCGGCTCCAAGAGCGAGAAGGGCCCACCAGTCTCTCTCCTGGCCCGGGGGGCGCCGCCGCGCGGCGGGCGGGGTTGTGCTGTTTCGGGCCTCCCTCCGCCGAGGCCCCAGTGTGACTTTAAGGCTCTTCCCTGGGGGCACCGAGGCAGGAACGGCCGTCCGTCTGTGCCCTGACCCGGGGCCGGGCCTCCTGGCGGCCAGGGCTCTCCCCCTGCGGCCGGCCTCCCCTGGGCACGTGGTCAGGAGCCGGCAGCTTGCTGTCTCTCCGCGGGGGCCCCCGTCCTGGGGGCTGCCTGGACTTAGAGCACCAAGGCGGCGCCGGGAGGCCTTGGAGGTGGTGGCTGACTTCTAAGAACGGGCAGATCCATTCATTCATACATTGGTAGCCCTGCTCCCGTCCTTCGTCTTGACTGAAAGACAGGCTGTAGTAGCTCCTTCTCCTGCAGCCGGGAGAGGTCCTCAGGAGCCGAGCTGTTAGTGCTTTGTACATACTGCTAAAGTGTTTTTCTATTCGTTTGCATAGTATTTATTGTTTTTCATATACACAAGGCTGATTACTGTACAGTTTACACTTTGAACACAGACTATGATATAAGTGCTTGAAGATACAGAAAACCTCTTCTCTATTGAACACGCTGGTGCAATCCTGGGACAGCCACTGGCCTGCCCCCACCTTTCAGATGGGGTGCTGGCTTTGTTTGAGGCCCAGAGCTAAGCCTGGGGGTCCTCCCCTCAGATTCTTAAGTCCCTAAACCAGGGAACCACGACTGCTCTCTAAAGGTAATGATTTTCCATTGAAAGATGATTAATACTGAAACTGGCAGAGAGAGAGAGAGACAACATAAAAAAATTCCAGGATATCCACAGTCTATACAGCTTCGGACATCACAGTAAAATCTGTGTGTATAGAGGGAGGTGTGTGTGTGTGTGTGTGTGTGTGTGTGTGTGTGTGTGTGTGTGTGTCCTGAATGTCATGTAGAGCGTTCTGGGAGGAGCGGTCCACTGGGCAGAGGCAGGGGACTGTCACAAATGGAATGGAGGTGTGCACAGGTGAGAAGACTGGTGGGTGAAGACGTGGGAATAAGGATTACATGCCTAGTTTTCTTTTTTTTCTTTCCAGGAAGCTCACGTGGATTTACAGATGAGGTTGGAAAAAAAGTACCCTGTAACAAGTCAAAATTATAATGATTAAAAAAAATAGATCCCCCCCAGCCACAAAAGAGCCCTTGTTCACTTTTGCATTCATACGCTCTCTTGCATGTGCTTTCTCTGTCTCTCTCTCTCTCCCCACTTCTTGTTTTTCTCCTGATTCCCGACCGAGATCCATCGTCACTAGAGGCAGGACTGAGGACTGTAGGTCATGCGTCTACAGTCAGTCCTTCATGAGAATAGGAGACTAAGGGAAGTCCCTTACAGAGCTCATGCTGTTAGCCTAGAGGAACACGGGTGCTACTTCTGTAGCCCTCCGTCCAGTCCAGCTCTCCTCCTGCATGCATGGCAGAGTGTGTGGAGTTCAAGGGTTGGGTGTCGAGGTGTGATCCTAAGGGACACAAAGAGAGAATGAGTTACTTAGAATTTAAAGGAGCAACTCCCATCAAAACCCCCAGATACCGAGTGTTGTGCTGACTGCTTAGGCAGGGTGTGATTCAGGCAAAGCAGCCCCCAACCCCAAGCAAGGTGATGAAGTTGAAAGGCACTGAGCTCAGAGCCCCTGACCTTCCTCAATATCAGCTATCCTTTTCCTGTTCCCCAGCCCAGAGGCTGCCTTTCACAGGTCTACACCAGTTGCTTGCCGTGTGGATGAGTTCCCTAGAATTCCCTCCTGTGTGGGTGCTCTGCCTCAGAGAGGCTGCAGAAGGCTCCCGTGCCTACACAGTCACCTGGGGAGAACTCTGCACAAGCAGGACCTTGTCCTGAGCCGAGGGGCCACATTCCCGAGCCAGGGCTTGTGCCAAGAAAGCGGCTGGGTTAGGTGGCGTTGTGCTCCACTTTTTCAGTTCCTTTAGGCAACATGCATTAGTGTCTGCTGTGTGCCAGCCCTGGGGACCCAGAGATGGAGCAGACATGACCATGGCCTCAGCGGGGATGGCAGCGCCTCTTCAGCTCTGGCCCAAAGACTCTTACTGTCTGTTGGGTGCCTCTGGCTCCTCACCATGCTGGATGGATGGACAGCCTCTGTTGTGGCAAAGAGATCTTCAAAAAACAGGTGCATTTGCCCTAGGATATTTTGTATCTTTGGCTGAAAGACAGTGGCTTTGCCTGCACAGCTAAATTCCAATTCAGCTGCCTGGGATTCACAGCAGGACCTCCCTCCTGCCACCCCATGGTGTCCCATCCACCACCTGGGGTGAAAACTGTGTTTCCAAGACCAGCCACTGGGGATTCTGTCTGCAGGGACCTCGGGACAGAAGGAGCAAAGGAGGACACGTAAGAGGCGCTGACAATCCCCGGGTGGGGCAGGAACTGACACCAAAAGGCAGACACCCATTCTGAGGCAGAGCTGTCCCCAGACCGGGGGCTGTTTTGGGCCCCCCAGGAGACAGGGTTGAGGAGGAAGCCCGAGATGACCAGGATGAACTCAACTCAGACAGGTTCCCCAGGGAGGAGGGTGGGGCTCAGCTGCCTGCCAAAGGCTGCTGTACAGCAAAATCCAGCCCTTTTCTGCAGTGGCTTGAAAGAGCTGTCACCCCAGAGGGCAGACTTCTCCACGGGCCCCAGCCTCTCTGCCAGCCAAGCCATCTCCTCCCCTGCCACAGGCCCAGCAGGCCTGCCTGCTCCCTGCCCTGCTTTGTGGCTCTCCCATCAAGGTCGCCATCCAGTCTCCTCTCCACTAACGTTCTTCACACAAGCCTCAAGCCCTCTCCTCCATGAAGCCCTCCTGACAACTCTGGCTTCTTCTCATTTCTCTCCTCGCCACTCTGATCATCTCCTCTCCTGCTGCTACTTTCTGTTTAGCCATCAGAGTGCAGGGGTGGCTGCCAATTTCCTGCTGAATGACTCTGGTCAAGTCATTCATATTCTCTGGGTCTTAGTTTCCTCTGCTGACAAAAGAGGGCAATACTAGAATGCACCTCATTAGATTGTTGTGAGGTTCTAAAGAGCTAAAGGTTATAAAATGCTTTGGGCAGGAAGCAGTGTGAATGTAAATGATGATCTGGCCCTAAGGAGATGTAGCTGTTTTTCCCTGTCTCACATCTGTAATGCTCTCCTGGCTGGAGCAGAGACACTCTGAGGCGAGCATCGAGCCGTACTCTCCCGGTGGTCCTCACAGCACCTGCCCCAGTGCTGAGCACATGTTGAGCAAGAGACCTTATAAAATCTTGAGCCTTGGGAAGGCAGGTGACAATCTCCTGCTCACTGTTCTGCCCAGACAAAGAGCAGCAAAAGAGAAAGTTCAGAGCTTAGAGGCCCTTCTAGGGTAACTGCCCACTTCATCTCTGGGTAAGTTGAGACTGCAGGAGGGGCAGCAGCGGGTCTGCTGGGAGTGCCCACGTGGTAGTGGTCGCCGGACCAGCACATGGGCCCCCTGTACATCCAGGCTGTGCCTGGTACTCCCCTCTCTCCCTGTGCCTCTTCTCCAGGGTGCCCTGTGGGAAAGGCCTTACCCCATAGAGAGCTGAGCAGATAGCCCCCAGCTGCTCCTGGTGGCTGTGTGGTCAGATCCTGTTTCTCATTTCATCTCCCTGTGCCCTGCCATCTGTCCCAGCTCCCTACCAGCATCTGTGGCTCTCTCCTCTCTCCCCTAGCCCCAGACTCTAATACACCTGCAACGGCTGGGGACTGAAGGTAGACTGTATCTTAAAACAAAACAGCAAAATAAAACACAGCCCCTTGCCGCCTGGCCCTCCCCATGGAGGTGATTAATGGGTTAAGTTCCAAACTTGCTAAAATATTCTATTATCAGATCTGACACAAGTCTTGCAGCCACAGTATCTGAGTAGAAAGTGTCCCTTAAAACGAAAACTACAAAAAGCAGCAGCCTTTTTATGCCGCAGCTTTCTGAGACCCCCAGAAGGCAGGGCCACATAGATGCAGAGAAGCCCTTGTGGCCTGCGTAGGCTCCTGGTCACCTGGAGGGCTGCTAGGCTGCCCTGTGCCCAAGCCCTAGGTCTGCTCAGCTCCAGCTCTGCTGACACCCTTGGACTTGAACACTTGGGCACAAAGCAAAGCCCACCAGCGGTTCCTATTTGCCCCAAGCAATCAGGCCTTAACTAACATAGCAATTTTCTAGCTTCTTAAACATGACCAGGAAGCACCCCCACCCTAACCCTCAGGGTCACAAAGTCCTTGCCAAGATGGGAGTGATTTGGGGGGAATCAGAATGGGAGACTGGGTTTCTTCAGTCCTCACCCGGGATGGGGGTGTTCTGGCCTTTGTGGGGGTGTTCCACATCTCGAACAAACCAAACCCATCATTCCTTGCAGCTCACATATTAAATGTAAAGCCTACAGCTGTGCCACGTCATGGTCTCTAGGAGGTTTGGGAAGGGAAGCCAAACTCAGGCATAATGATTTGCTCATCAATACACACAAAGCACCACCTGAGGCGAGCCATGCAGAATCCTAAGTTCTAGAATTTTAACTCAGTAGGTGTGGAGTGGGGACCAGGAATCTGCACTTTACCCCAACATTGGGATGATAGTGACGTGGGAGTGTGGCTGATGCTTGGAAGGGCAGTGGATCGGACGTTAACATTACCTAAAGTCCTCTAGCATCGTGACCATCCTGCAAGGGAGAAGCAGCATTGCTGTAGCTGAACAGCTGAGACGCCTGAGGCTTAGAGAGGTCTACTGACTTCCCGCGGGGCACCCTGCAAGTAAGGTCTGTAATCGACTGCATGACGGAATACATATGCTCCCCTTCAGACCAGCCAGGCCTTGAGTCTCGACTCCTAAAGCCCGACTTTCACACTCTCCCAAACAAATGCCTAATGCTCATCATTCCCAGTAGCCATGTTCTAGGAAGGCACCATGAATTAACCAGTGCAGAGCCATTGCTCCCAAGGAAATACAGCATTAGGTTCCTGTGAGCCTCTGCCCACTGCATTTTTGTCAAGCCTTAACATACAGCCTTGCTTTGTGAGTGTGTTCCTGTTTAAAAGCACCTTAAAGGGTTTATTGCTGATTCATCAACACTGAACTCGGCCAACAGTGCTCGAATTCATGCCTGAACGAAGCTTATTTAAACTGTATTTTTCCCTGTGGGGCACTTTGCAGCCTTCCTGCCCTTAGGAGCACTAGACAGCACTTCAGCTCTAGGCTTGGGGGTCACTGTGAATGGCAAAACCAACAGAAAGCACAGAAATGCAAAGAACGTGGCTCTAAACAGACTGCAAAAGATAAAATACTTGTTTACAGTGTGAGCACTGAAACCAGGGGCTGAGCGTCACCTTGTGTTCAGCCTCAGCTGGGAACTGGCATGCAGGGTAATCCAAATTTTTCACACTATGTGGATGTCCACGAATGGCCACAATAGTGCTGGGAGTGTTGGTTTCAGGGTCAAAATAAATTTTAGCTGCTGGGGATATACGCTAGTGTGGAGTCCATGAACAATGAGGATCCCCCTTACGTATGAAGGGTCAGAGCGCCTCAGCCTGTCCCTGTTTTCTCCGCAGTCTGTGCCGCTGGGAGGGGAGAGCACTGGAGGCCACCCCAGGCCTGCCCACCGGCTCCCTCCCCACTGTCCCCACTGCACATTTCTCCGGTCTCTCTTTGGCAAAGGTCCCAGTGGTGTGCTGGAGCCAGGCTGCTCAGCGGTTCCCAACACCCACACTCAGTGGCCTGGAACCACATTTCCCTGTGGGGGCTCAGCCACTTTGCAGATCAACTGCAGAAAATTAGAAAGAACAATTTCTAGGTTCAGCCCTTCCCCCAGCCTCGCTTCTAGACCGCCTCTGCCTGCTTCAGGAGCATCAGTAAGAGCAGAGCCAAACAGAAGCAGTAATTTAAAGCCACCACTGCTGTAAATACCCTGAGAACAATGAGGCAGAAGAGTGTGCTTCTCCTTCCAATCTCTGCTTTTTCAAATTACTTGCACCTGTGGACTATTGCTGGGTCTGATCACAGCAGCCTGGTGGGGGCCCTGGCAGGGCAGGGTTAACACTGTGCCCTCTTTAAGCTGCTGAGGAGTCAGGTCTAATTTTATCCTATAACCAGAGCTGCCAGTCCTCTTTCTGCCCTAGTGCTGAGTTATGTCAGGAAACTCAGAGCCAGCACTTCTGGTGGCTTGAGAGGCAGCGGCCCTGCTTTTTGCTGAAAGTGGAAAAACTGGAGCCTGCTTGTCACTTGGCCCAGAGCCAGGCCCTGGGGGTGTAAATGGCAACAGCCCGCGGGGCTGCACTGGGGCCACGGTGCTTCCTTGCTTCCTGCTGACTCCCACCCCGATGCATCCTGTACTGAGCTGCTCCGAGCTGGGCACAGTGCAGGGCCTCGGGGCAGCTCAGTACAGGATGCCTCAGGGAGGACAGAGGTCAGAGCTGGCCGCTGAGGCCCCCAGCACTGCTGGGCGCTGGAGAGCCTTCACTGCCGCGTCTTCTCGGTGCTCCCTCATTGCATGCCACACACACTGCTGTCCTCAGCCACACTGCACCCATGCTCTTGCATGCCATGCACTAAGCCCAGCAGCCTGCCTGACTTGCAGCAAGAAAGCCATCCACCCCTCTGGCGTGTTGACTTTGCCCTTTCCTAGAAAGCACAGGGGCAATGCATTTCCAGAAACACCAAGGAGAATGGGTCTTGCATCCATCAGGACTTTTGAAGGGTTCCAGGTTCAAGGGACAGTGCAATTCTAAGTAGAGTCCCTGTTGGCACTCTTCCTGTGCTAGGACTCTCGTCACAATAGCACAGCCTAGACAGACTCCTAAAGAGCAGCCTGCTGGGCCCCCGGCAGTGCGGGTTCACACGGTGACCTCTCCCTGCATTCCCCAAGGCCCTTCCCCCCAGATCCCAGTGCCAGGTTTCCAGGATAATATTCCTGCTGAGGTTCCCAGGTGCTTTCACTCATCAAAGCATTTTTTCAGATTTGTATTGTTCACCCCCTGAGGGGTGGGTCAGCAGACCTGTTGATGGTTTCCTTGAGGGGGCAGTGGACACTCAGAGTCACAGTTGGCAGGTTGGGAGGAATCTACGCCTCTAGGCCACAGCCCTGGCTGTTCATCCTGCATCATGCCGGAGGTGGGCGGGCGGGAGCGAGGCTCTGGGAGAAGTGGGGGCCCGCGGGGAAGTGAGCAGCCATCCCCAGGACCAGCCACACACTCCGAGGTCCAGGCCATGCAGAAAGGATGAGGAAAGACGGCATTACCTCCAAGGAGGCCATTCGAGGGGACGGGCAGCGGTCACTGCTTCCCCCTCTTCAGGCTGGCCCGCTTCACTATCTGAGCCCCCTTCCTGCCCTCTAGCAGGTCCGGCTGCAGCCTCCTCCCCCTCAACTCCACCTGGAGACAGCAGCAGAGACAGAAGGCAGGACGGATCACACGGACAGGCAGGCAAGAGAATGAAAGGCTTTTTCCAGGGGCAGCGCAACGCTGCCTGCGGGAGAAGGGAGGCTCCAGCGGAGCCCCGAGGGAGTCGAGCGCAGCGCAGACTGAAGCCCAGGTGGGCAGGCGCAGAGGGTGAGCAGCGGGTAAAGGGGCCGGGCCGCTCAGAAGACTGAGAGGACCCCGGAGGCTGCAGCCATTCCAGTACCTTGGCGTGTTTCATAAAATTTTCAATATCAGCTTCCGTCACACTAGGATCCTCCAGGAACCCCTCAACAATCACCTCTTCGTGCTCCTGGGTGTCGCCGGCACCAGACGACTCTATCTGCCGAACAACTTTGCGAATGATCTGAAAAGAGAGGGCTGGTGAGGCCTTTGAGGTGGAGCTCGAGGAGAGCAGGTCCCCAGGAATGAGATTCGGGGGCCAGGAGGCCTGTGTCCAAAGGCGCCCTTCCTTGAGGGGCCAAGAACAGGGGCGCCACCATCGTGTGGAAAACGTGCCCTGGACAGCCTCAGACGGGCTGGAGTTTGCAGAGGGCGCCTAGCAGCTTGTGCTAATGACTAGTCTGGCCACGCGTGACCTCTCTCTCTGGCCACAGCATTTCCTTGACATTGAGGGAAGTTCATTCTGTCGTCCGTCATCCCCACAGGAATGGGGCTCTTACGGGCAGAGGACATTATCTTCCATCTATCATCGTCTGATGCAATCCACTCCCTTATTCACTCATCCAAATATTCTAACAAGTGCTTATTCTGCACCTACCACGTGCTGGCAGTGGGAAATAACATAAAGAAGATGTGACCCGGCCTGCACGAAACCCACCATGCAGGGGAGAGACACGTGAGGGGTCTTATTCCGATACAGTGTGGGCAGCATCCCCAGGGGCACATACAAGGCCGACCCTTGGCATCTTCCCTCTCTGCCCTCACCTAGCACAGGGCCCTAAACTTGACAGGCAAAATCATGTCCACTGAATTAAGATCTGCTATCAGTTCAATGCATTTCCACATCCTTCGTGTTTTAGGGTGCCCATGGTAGTCTAAGAGCCCCCCTACTGCTGTCTTATGGCTATTTTCAGGCTGAGGCTGCACAGGACTAGGTTTGGGCTGTTTCATGGGGGCTGGTCCTGCAACAGAGTGACAGGAGCTGACTGCAGGCCGAATCAGCACAGTGGCTGTAAGGAATGTCACATCCTAAAGACAAGAGCCCCCGGGCCCCTGACCATGCCTTCTGAGCCTGCCCACCCTCTGTCAGGGCAGCGAGAGAAGCTGGGAGGTGAGGACACAGCTTCTAGCTCCTAGCCCACCTGCCTCCGTCCCACTCAGGGGGACTCTTGGCACCCACCTTCTTGGTGACAATGTTGCCCTGCTCATCTGTGAATTGTTCCTCAGTCACCTGCTCCCCTGGAATATTCTGAAGCTCATTTTCCTGGAATTAGAGAAAGGGAGAAAACTTGACATTGATAAGTGGGAGTTTAAAAGTACAAATGGAGGGTGAGGAAATGAAACAGCAGCAGCAGTAACAGCCACCATGGGACAGACGCCCAGCCTGGCAGGAAATGCCCACTGGGCATGGAGCCATGGCCAACCAAGGCTCCCAGAGCGACAGGCACCCCATGGGGCCACAGAGCCAGGACAGGATGCAGGGCGACCTTGCAAGAGCTGTACGTGCTCTATTCCCCCACAGCACCCAGAGGAGGCAAAACACAACGATTATGCACGTTTTACAGAGGAGGCCCTGAGACAGGAAGCAAGGCATCTACTTATATATGGATTGCACTTTATAGTGTAGAAAGCCCTTCTACAGACACCAGTGCCCCGAGTGTGACGTGTCTGCTTCCTGAAGCTGGCTGGGGACAGAAGCAGGACAAGAACAGGCTTCCCAGGTAACAAAGTGGCACTGTCTCTGCCATCGTGGAGGGGTGGTCCTGGTGTGGCCGCAGAGCCCATGCCCTAGGCTGTGCCCTTCCTGCCAACCTGTCCCCTGACTCGGAGTCAGGTGCCTTTTCCCAGGTGCTCCTGCCTCCGTCACAGCGCTGCGCCCTCAGCCCAGCCTCCTGCAGGGCGGTTACCTTCAGGAGGACCCGGCGCCGGATCACCCGGGTGGAGATGGCCTCCTCATCCTCACTCAGGCCCTCGTTCTCCCCCAGCTCCTTGTCCAGCTCTTGATGGATGTGCTTCAGCAAGAAGCACAGGGAGCCCTTGACAATGTGCATCACGTTCTGACAGCTGACCAGGAAGAAGCCCAGGAGCACGAGGGCGACCAGGAGCTGGGTGATAAAGGCCCACATCCTCCTTCCTCCTCACCAGGCCGGCCCTCCGGGGACCAGCAGGCCAGGGGTCGGGCTGCTGCAGGGGTCTGGCCTTTCATTCTCCTCCTGGACTCCTGCGGCCCCCCAGGACCCCTTCCATTGTCCCTCTCGGCCTCCCACTCTCTCCCGGGAAGGGCACTGACCAACCTGGCCAGAGCCGCCTGCCCGAGTGTCCTCCTGCTTGGCAGCCGCTGCTCTGCCCTCACGCCTGCGTGACGCCAGGCGCCGATAATTTTAGCTCTCGCAGCAGCTGCTGGGGCTGTCCCGCTGGGCCAGAAGGAAGGCGGCAGGTGCGCATCCCGGCACGGAAGGAGCATGCCCGTCACTGCCAGGGAACGCCCCCTCCCGGCCTGCAACCCCCACGCCCCGGCCCGCTTGCTCCCCGCCTGCCCCGCAGGCAGCTCCCAGGGCCCTGGCCCTCTCGCCTTTGCAGCCGCCTGCTCCCGTGCGGACTAGAGGCGGCTCTGCTCAGGGCGCTTTTCTAGTTCAGAGACCCCGGAAATAAGGTGTCCGGGGAACGTGGCTACTTGTGCGTTTCCCTGGGCTGCTATTGCACGGTGGGAATGAGGTTCACTCCCGCCTGTGGGGATGGGACCAGACAACACCCTGGAGAGTTAAGGGTTTACCCCCAAAGAGCCCGGGGTTCAGTGATTTGCTCAGTCCCAGCCAAGCAAGGGCAGAGGTACCCCAGCCCTCACAGGGTCCTCGAGGTCCCCTTTGGTGCAGGCCCTCGCACCCCCTTTGCCGGTGTAACAACCCTACACATAAGGTGTAACTGGTGTGTCTATTTAAGGCCTGTCCTCAAAGGCTCTTCCCGTGCCGGGCCGTCAACACCCACGAGCAGGAAACACACGCATTCAACTCGCCTCTGATACTGGGGATTCACAGATGTAGCAGCAGCAGCTGTGACTCAGAGGAATTTCACTTTGGGGATCAGGCTGCTCCTCTTTGAGTGGCAGCCCACATGGCAGAGAAAACAAAGATGTGGGACACAGCAGACTGGCCCTGGAGCTCCCTCACTGTGGGGGTTTTGGGGAAGCGGGGTACCTGCTCTGTATCTCAGGTTCCTCATCCGTAAAGCAGGTGAGGTTCAAAGTGTCCTCGCTACCCTGTTCTTGAGAGCGCTGTGTGATCACAGGGTTTCTGAGTACTGCCACCGTGAACGGGACAGCAAGCCCTTACTGCAGTGCGCAGGCTTCGCAGGCTTGTCCTGTATACGTCTTGCACACTAACTCATTTGAGCTTCGCGACAATCCTACCGGGCAGGTTCTATCATTTTCCCATTTTACACACAGGAAAGGGAGGCACACAGGAGTTAAGTACTTGTCTACATGAAAGAGTAAGTAAATGAGAATCAGATTTCAAGCCTCATTTCAGCAAGAGAGCTGCTGGAAAAACAGAAGCCCACACAGCGCACGCCCAGGAGCCAGGCCCTGGGAGCATTCAATTTGGGCCCAGCAAAAGCCCATTCTTCTGACTGGGTCCTCCATGAAACTCGCTGGCTCACGGTCACTTCCGGCCCACCTCCCCAGCCCTAATTATAGGGCATCTCTGTAGCTCTCTGTCATGGTTTTCAGAGACTCACTGTAAATGCTAGTGAGTAGGTGCTTTGCAAACCATCACCTTAGCTGGGCCTTATTACCAATTCCTGGGCTCCCATCACATGATGAGAACCGCAGCTCATCCGTGCCACTGACCTCTGTCCTACGCCCTGAACACTCACTCTGATTGGACAGCGTGAGAGCTGGCTGCTGTGTGTGTGACCCTGGAAAAGCCCTTGGCTTCTCTGATCCCTCAGATCCCTCATTTATAAACAAGGCAGTTGGACCATGTGCCCTAGAACATTTCTCTTGTGATGTCTTGGCGCCATCCTGCTTTCTCCCAGGGCTCCCCTTCATGGAAGGCTGATGCAGAGGGGTGGTGAGCAAGAGGGCTGCTGGGGCCCCCAAAGGTGCCTGCTGGGCCTGAGGTTCGGACTGGGGATGGGGAGAGGCAGAGAGAGCAGCAGATGGGCCAGAGAGGAAGAAGCAGTGCTGACCACACGGTAAGAGAGCACTTGAGATATGGAACCTATGCCCACACTTCACACTCACAAGCCCAGAACAGCATGCCAGTGTCACGAACATGCAGGAAATAAAAAGACACACGCTAATAAGATGCCTGGGATTTGCTTCAAAATAATGTGTTGGGGACAGAGAAGGGGGGGCGTTACAGTGAAACAAAGCTGGCGATAAGTGGGTAACTGTGAGCTGGGTGGTATGCCCATGGAAAGTTAAGATGCTATTCTCTTCTTGTATTCATTTGCAATTTTTCGTTAATAAAAATTTTTTCAAAAGCACATTAAAACGGATGTCTGTGGGAATGGGGTGGGGCAAGAGAATGGGAATGGGGAGTGAGGACAGAGTGAAAAAAATAAAATGAAGCAGGACCGGTGACAGAGGGAGGCAGGCCTGACTGAGCAAGAAACAGGCCTGGGGCTCCGGAGAGAGCGGAGGATGGGCGGTGGGGGGACCCCGCTCTCCATCAGTCCTGACTAGCTTGCTGAGCCCCACCCACAGAGCCGCAGGACCCTCACGCCGATGAACCTCGGCGATGATCCATTCACTCCTCGTTTCCCAACGAGGAATCCCAGGTGCAGACCGTGGGAGGACCAAGTTGGACGAGCCCCCAGTTCCCTGGGCTTTAAGCCCTTTCTGAAACAGGACGGAAAAGGGGAACAAACGAAAACCATGGCTTTGCTGTCAGCCAGACCCCAGGCAAAGCCCACCTCTGACCCTGTGACCTTGGGCAAGCTGCTCAGCCGGCCACGTGGGGGTGGTGCCTGGGGCACTCCCTACATGCTAGCCCTGCCTCCCCTCCGTGGGGATCAAGCAGGCAGAAGGGTAGACTGTGCCCCTGTATCCTTATTTCTAGAGAAAATGAGGCCACAATTTTTTAAAAAAGGCTCAGGACCTGAGTGCCTGGGAGGCTGCCCTCGAACTCAGGCCCTTCCCGCGCCCGTGCAGGCTTCAGCTGACGCCCCTGTGGACTCCTATCTTTATCTCTGGGGTCAAGGCGCTCAGCCTCCTGCATCCACTCTGGGGACCTGGCTGTCCCTGCTCCTGGTCAGCCTGGGGACCCCCAGTTGCAGACACCAGCACCTACCTCCTCATGCTCCTCAGACTCAGCAACAACGGTGGCAGTTCTCTGGGATGAGTCTGGGTCTTGAGTGACCTCTTCCTGCCCAGGATCTTGTGCAGCATCTTGCAGGTATGAAGAAATGGAACCTTCTCTATCCCAGCCCGGCAGCCTGGGGCCCAGGAAGACAGAAAGGACACCTGGTCACCCATTGGTCTCTACCCTCCCGGATGCCCTCCCCCTCCAGAGCCCTGACATCCTGTGCTGCCCACCTGACGGATGGGACAGTGTGAACAAATCACTTAGCGGACTGCCCTATGCAGAGGCACACGTGAGCCGTCCCTGCTTCCCGAAGGAGAGGGACAGAGACACCAGTGCCACTGGTCCCCTCCCTTTGAGTGGACGGCTCCCACTCTGGGCTCCCGAGGCACCTGGCCCACACTGAGGGTCTTGGCTTTGGGGTCCCCTGTCTATCACCTTATCACCCCCACTTGGGCCTCCAGGCCACTCCCACTCAAAGTCCCTATATCAGTGCTCACTCTACAAGGTGTCACTTCCTCCCTCTAGAAATGCTCTTCTGTGGCTTCCAGGACCACACATTTGCCTGGTCCTCCCAACTCTCCAGCTACCACTTTGCAGTGGCCTTTGTAGGTTCTTCCCAAATTTCCCAACTTCTGAACATTGGAGCCTCCCGGGCGCAGTTCTCAGACCCTATCTCTACCTGCATCCACTCCTGAGTGAGCTCGCTTAGTCCGCGACCTTGCACCCCAGCCACACGCTCCCCACATCCAGTGGAGCATCTCTGCTGTGACCCGCGGACATGTATCCGACACGCCCACGGCATCTCTGCCTTGGAGCTCTAAGAGGCGCCGCCAGGATGGCGTGTTGAGACCACACTTAGGACCCTGTCCCCAAACCTGTTCCATCCAGGCATCCCCACTGCAGTCAACGGCCTCCTGGTCCTCCCAGGTGTCAGGCCAAGGATACCAGTGAACTCCCACTTCTCTCTTCTCCCACTTTGCTTCCACTTTCAAAAACATATCCTGAACACAAGCACTTCTCACCCCCACTGCTGCTACCATCTTGGGCCCGACCACTATCAACTCTCGCCTCCTAGCTTACCTCCCTGCCTCTACCCCTGGCCGTGGCAGGCTGTTCTCAAGGCAGCTGCCAGATCACCTCCTCTGCTCAAAACCAGTCAATGGCTCCCCATCCTACCCAGTGAATGCCGAAGTCCAGCGAGGACCTCAAGGCCTGGCATGTCTGGCCCCAGGCCTTCCTTCCCTTACGGTGACCCCCTTGGTCACAGGAGGCACTGTGACTGCTCCTCCATCATGCCAGGCATGCTCCTCCGCCAGGCCTCTGCACCCGCAGGGCCTGCTGCTGGGCCTCCCTTAATTCCTCGGGGCTTTCCCCTGCTGTCACTCTCTCTGGTTTCCCTGGATACCCCATCTGTCATTCCCCCACCCCCACATACTATACCTCACCCCCCTTCCCCACTTTTTCTTTTTCTTTTTAGCACTTCTCTAGCATTTCTCTTTTAATTACTTTTGATTTTGTTTACTTAATCTTGTCTACAGTCAGTTTCTCCACTAGAACATTAGCTTCTTGCAGGTAGAGACTTCTGTTTCGTTCAACGCTGCAGCCCTGGCACCTTGGCACGCTTCCTAGGGGCCTGGCACATAGCGGGCACTCCATCCACATTGTTGGGTGACTGACTAAATCTTTCTGTTGGAAGGCTGACCGAGGTCACAGAGCCAAACTGTAACCACGGAGGCCTAGCACCCCGCCTTTGGTTCCCTGATACTACTGTGTGGCGGCGACCAGCACACAGGGAGCAGCCAGCGAAGGCCTGCTGAGTGAGTGACCGTCACAGGCTCCTGGGACGCGGCCTCTCACAGGGATGCCCCGTCCGTCCAGTGCTAACCAGAGGATTTCTTTGGGGGAATATATCCTTGCTGTCTCAGCTTCCATGCAGCCTCTCTTTCTCTCCCTCTATGGTATTCAGGCGGCACTGAGTGGGCTCTGGAAAATGGCCCTGTCAGCCCAGCTTCCGAGGGGCCCGAGGAGCCATGTGGGTGGGAGACAACATGAGAATAAATCCCCCAGGGCCTGGCCAGTCCGGAGCCCTTGGGTAGCCCTGGCTTTCTGGGAGTGCATGGACATCTCCTTGCTTTAGGGAAAATCTAGAAAGCCCAGCAACAGGGAAGAAAGGGCTGCTGTCGCTCCATCCTGTGCCAGTCCGGGAGGGCCGAAGTGAGGCTGGCCCCATGCCTGCCTTCATCCCTCTCCCCAAGCCCTCCTGCACACTCAGCCTAGCAGTAGGGCACCTTGCACTGCATGGACGCGAGTCAGGCCTGCTGCCCGAGGACTCAGTGTCTGCAGAGGAGCCCAAGGCCCTTCTGCCCAAACTGCCAGTGCTGTTTATGCTGCAGGCCCAGTGCCGGGCCTTCCCACCACAGGAAGCTTGGTGAGGAGTTACTCGGGAGAATAACCACCTCTTAGCGGCTGACAGCTCAGTCCTGCCCCAGATAAGCACACCAGCCTCACTCTTTCAAAGGCATAAAGTAGAAAGGACACCATTATCAGCTCCGTCACATGCCAGCCATGTGACTGCACAAGTACTGTCCCTGGGCCCTCTGCTTCTGGGTTTCTAAATATGGTCTTTGGCAGCAGGCACATAACAGTGACAGGGGCCAGAGCACCTACGCTGGCTGCCCATCAGAGACAGGGTCAACCAAGCCGTATCATCTCTCTCCAAAGAAAGACCTCCGCTGTCCAGCACCCTCAGCTTCTCCCGCTGCTTGTGGCCAGGTGGGCGACTGGACTTGCGGATCACAGCTCACACCTGACAGAGGCCTGCGCAAGGGCTGGGCAGCTTCAGAGGCAAGCTGGTGCCACACTGAATTTCTTTGCTTCTAGGCATTTAGAACACATGGTCGGGTCAATATCAGTACCTGAGATGTCCCTTGGCACTCCCGGGCAGGCACACTCTCACCGGAAGCTCAGGGAGATGAAAGGCACCCTGCCAGGGCCGTCCCATCCTTACCTGTCCTCGCTCACCTCCACCCGGCTCACGGAAGGGGATTCTGTGATGTGGGCTTGCACCCTCTGCTGGCCTGAAACAAGAGACACTTCACTCTCTGAATCCTGCCCTGCACCTGTCAGGTCCTCCTGCCTCGTATGACCTGGCAGCTTCTCTTCTGACCTCTGACCTGCCTCCTGGTCAAGCAAATCGATAAGGCTATCTGTGGCACTTAAATCCACTGTGTCATCCTCCACAAGGTCCAGAGAGCCTTGGGGTCTCTCAGAGAGTGGCCCCTCCAGCTTCGACTCGTGGCCGGTGGCGTCAGAGTCCTCGGCCTTGCTGCACTCCAGAGAGGAGTCCTCAGCAGTGACCAGGGACGGTGTGAGGCCCCCAGACCACAGCTGCATGTCAGAAATCTCCAGCATCACGTCATGCTCCGTGGCCGCGAAGGGGATGGCGTCTATGACGGCCACCTCGTTCCAGTACTTGTCTGCACGCAGTGGAGAGGGAAGCGCGTAGTGCAGGGAGGCGGGGGACAGCAGCTCGTCCTGCAGCGAGGAGTAACCTGGATGGGCAGACAGAGGGCAACATGCTCCAGAAGCAATTTTTGTCACACACGCTTACGTGCAAATCCACAGACACGCACACGCTCAGGCACAGCCATAGAAACGCATGCACATTCCAGGCAAGGGGCTTTCCAAGCTCAAAGCCTAGTGTTCAGGCCTTGTGGCTGCCTCCCAGAGCACTAGACCAGAGAGCCAAGGCTCTGGGTTGGCTGGGGGGCAGCCAGGGAATGGGGCTGAGAGGAGGGCTCCTTTGCTGGATGGCAAAGAGGAGAGACTGGAACTCTTTCTTCTCCAGGTCCAAGCACTAGATCAAGGTACCCTGATCTAAAAGCATGTGCTCCAATCTGCCTCTAATTGGAGGAAAGCCCACTTCTCGATGGCTGGGCAGAAAGAAATGTCTTTCTTTGCTCAAAACATCCCTTCAGCACAGTCCTTAGGGTATCTGTCAGGAGTGCACCTTAAGGGGAGGAACAGCCACCCAGACTCAGGGTAAGTGATGAAGATGAACACCCGCAGGCCTCGGGGGGACACCATTGGGTTTGGGGATGAACTCACTTTCCCTCCTTGTGTCTTGGTTCTAGAAACTTTGAATGATCCAGAATGGCACAATGAGGGTTCTAAGGTTTGAAATGGACCACGCCAGAGGGTGCCACCTGGTAACAGGCACACAGCTGCTGCTTCAGTGCTGTGCCTGGAAGCCCGTCGTCCACAGGCCCTGAGCTACTGCTGCCTGCTCCAGGTCGGCAGCCACCTGGGGCCGGAGCCCTGTGGTCAGCACTGCCTGGTCATTCATCTGCTCTTGCTGACCGGCTCAGGCCTGGGTCCCTCCTTGTTTCCTGGTTGACTCTGGAACCGACTCCCTGATGTTTGGCATAGGCAGGAACCTGCATGGCAGGCACCTGGAAGCATACCAGGAATGCCTGTTTGATTTGAATGGGAAGTGTTGCTGTTCTTTCAGCCAGGAGTGGGGATCCTTGCCACAGGGGAAAGGGGGCCTCTGACTCCCCTTCAGAGCAGTTGCCAACCTGCAGGTGGGAAAAGGGACTAGAGGACAAGATTCTACATTGGGCTCAGCTGGTCTGGGGGACCAGGGAGCAGAGGTGTGCCTACATCCTCTGAAGGCCCAGTGGAGCTGAAGGACGACCCTGGGTATGGGTGGGGCTGCTCCCTGCAGAGTCCATAGGGACCTTCCTGTGTTCAGAGAGGCCCCTCCCCTAGTGCCCAGACTTCCATTCACCCCTCACTACCTCAACCCCACATCTAGTTCTTCCCCGGCTTGGCCTTTCTGGCAGCCTAAGCAGCTCGCCTCATTCCCACCCGGGGGCCTGAGCTCCTGGTCACCCATCGCTTCTCTATTTTTGACTGTATCTCCAGCTATCCTCATTCACTCACTCATTCACCCAAAAGATGTTCATTGAGGTCTGCTTCCCTGCCAGGTGCCATGCTAAATAAGGGGCTGGGGCTTACACACACACACACACACACACACACACACACCCTTTTGTCACTTTCTAGTTCCCTCACTAAGCCAGTTCACGGGACTGCGCACTCTTAGATGTCAGGGATGGTGTCTGCTACTTCCTCCCACTTGCCTAGAACACCACTGGGAATCACTGGCCCCAGGGACTGCTTCAGTGCATTCCAGGTGTATGAGGGGAGAACATGGAGCCAGAACAGATGACCTCCTCGCCCAGACTTAGTAAAACCACATTTGCTAACATTTACATGTGTGTTCTGCGTGCCAGGAAACCACACTGTGTGACCAACACACATACGCTCCTGATCTTCCCAGGAGTTCTTCTCCTGACTGATCTCTACGGGTCTCCAGTGTGGTTTCACATCCCCAAACTAGGAGAAGGAGGGAGAGACCATAAGGTGGGACGGGAGGGCTGTGCCTTAACCCGGACTAAGGGACTCCCCAAACCAGGAAGACCGAAGAGGAGATGGGAGAGCAGAGTAATGGTGGATCAAATCTTTCCGTGACATTAACTCAAGTCACTGCATGTGAAACTGTGATTTAAGGTTTGGGAAACCAAGGGCAGTAGCCTTCAAACCCTCCATAAATCTCTCCAGATACACATGAGCAGAACATTCTAGAGCCAAGTGATTTTATTTTTCTTGAAAGCATCATTACATTATTTCCATTACTAATTGAGGGTCGCTTTTGTATAAAACATATCTAACATGTTGTTTTTAATTATCACAACAACACTACAAGGAAAGTAATATTATTCCTACTTTAGAGATTAGGAAATAAGAAGTTCAACAACTTGCTTAAGGCACACAGTGAGTGGTCTTTTCTTTAGATTTTGCCATTAGCATCTTTTAAAAATAGCTTTGTTGAGGTATAGTTGACATACAAGTGCACATATTTAAAGTAGATACCTGGATACTTTCTGACGTATGTATACACCATGAAATCATCACAATGAAAACTCTCCATCCCAGAAAGCTGTCCTCATGCTTCTGTGTGATCCTTCTGCCACCCCTTGCTCAGGTAACCACTGATCTGCTTTCTGTCACTATTATGTTAGTTTGCATTTCCCAGAATTTTAGATAAATGGAATTGTACAGTGTGTATTCTTTTTTTCTGGCTTCTTTCACTCAGCCAAATTATTTGGTTATCCTCCATGTGGTTGCCTGTATCAATGACTTATCCATTATTATTGTTGAGTTGTATTCCATTGGATGGATATACCACTGCTAAAGGACATTTGGTTGGTTCCATTTTGGGGCTATTACAAATAAAACTACCTGTCTGTGTGGACATATGCTTTCTTTTCTTATGGGTAGTACCTATGAGTAGAATGGCTGAACCATATTGTAGGTATATGTCTAACTTTTAAAGAAACAACCCAAGTGTTTTCCAAAGTGGTTTTCCCATTTACATTCCCACCAGCAGTGCACGAGAGTTCCAGTTCCTCCATATCCTTGTCAACACTTGGTATGGTCAGTCTTCTTCATTTTAATCATTCGTATGGGTATGTAGTGGTATCCCTGTGTAGTTTTGATTTGTATTCCCCTAATGACTAGTGATGTCAAGCATCTTTTCATGTGCCTATTTACTATCTTTATATCTTCTGCATTAAGTGTCTGTTCAAATCCTTTGTCATTTTAAATACTGGATTGTTTGTTTCTTATTATTGAGTTTTGGGATTTCTTTATATATTCGGGATACAAGTCCTAAATCAAATCATTATTTGGCAATATTTTCTCCCAATCTCTGGCTCATCTTTTCATTTCCTTAACAGTGCATTTTGAAGAAGGGAAGTTTTTAATTTTGATGAAGTCCAATTGATCAATTTGTTTCTTTACAGATTGCACTTTTGATGTTGTATCTAAGAAATCTTTGTTTTACCTAACATCTCTAAGGTTTTTTTTTCTGTTTTCTTCTAGAAGTTTTATTATTTTATATTTACTTCTAGAATTTTTTACATCAGGTTTTATATTTAGTCTATGATCCATTTTGAGTTATTTTTGTATATGATGCAAAGTATGATCCAAGTTAATTTTGCATATGAATATCCAATTGTTCCAGCCCAGTTATTGTAAAGATTTTCCTTTCTTCACTGAATTGCCTTTGTACCTTTGTTGAAAATCAGTTATTCATGTATATGTGGTTCTATTTCTTGACTCTATTCTGTTCCACTGAATTATCTACCTTTATGACAATACCACACTGTACTGATTATCATAGCTTTCTAATAAATCTTGTAGTCAGGTAGTGTGAATCATCCAGCTTTGTTCATTTTCAAAGTTGTTTTTGGATATTCTAGGTCCTTTCCATGTGAACTTTAGAACCACTTGGTCATTTTCTACCAAAAAATTCTACTGGGATTTTGATTGGAATTGCATTGAATATATAAATCATTTTATGGAGAACTGACAATAATATCAAATCTACTGACCCATTAACAAGATGTATCTGTATACTTATCTAGGTCTTTAATTTTTCTCAGTTATGTTTTATAGTTTTGATGTATAATTATTATACATCTTTTATCAGATTTACCTCCAAGTGCTTCAGTTTTTTTAATGCTATTTTAAATATTCTTTTTTAAAAATTTCAATTTGTAATAATTGTTTATAAAAATTCAGTTGATTTTTCTATATTGAATTTGTATCCTTCAGCCTTACTAAACTTATTTATTAACCATCTTCTGTAGATGCCATTGGATTTTTTATATGGGCAATCTTATAGTTTATGTGGTTAGCTTTAGGTTTTTGTAGATACCCTTTATCAGATTGAGTGAATTCTTCTCTATTCCTACTTTGCTGAGAGTTTAAAAATTGGGAATGGATATTGGATTTGTCAACTTTTTTAATGCATCTGTGGCAATGATCATATGGTTTTGCTTTTTTAGCTTGTTAGTCTGATGAATTATATTTATTCTTTTTATTCTTAATTTGTTAAGGTGTGTTTTATGCACAGAATATGGTCTGTCTTGGTGACTGTTCCATGTGAGCTTGAGAAGAATGTGCATTCTACTGTTGTTGGGTGAAATAGTCTACAACTATAAACTATAAACAGTTGATTGGTGGTGTTGCGAGTTCAACTATGTCCTGACTTTCTGCATGCCAAATCTGTCCATTTCTGATAGAGGCATACTGAAGTCTCCAACTACACACGGATTCATCTATTTCTCCTTGCAGTTCTATCATTTTTTGCTTCACTTACTTTGATGCTTTGTTGTTAGATGCACACATAAGGATCATTATGTTCTTGGAAAATTAATTCTTTTATCATTGAATAATGCCTCTCTTTATCCCTGATACTTTCCTTTCTCTGAAGACTGTTCTACCTTAAATAACACAGCTACTCTTGCTTTCTTTTGATTAGTGTCAGCTTGGTATTATTTGTATGATCTTCTTCTATATACTTTTAATCTATATATGTCTTTATTTTTAAAGTGGGTTTCATGCAGACAACATATAGTTGGGTTGTGTTTGTTGACCTACTCTGACCTTTGTCTTTTAATTGGTGCATTTAGACCATTGA